GCCCGCGGCCTCGGGCGGCCCCCCCGCTCTCCGCCCCGCTCACGAACCAGCCGCGGGGGTTGGCCCTCCGTCGGGCCCGACCTTCGGTCCTCCTCGGGTGCAGGAGGTGGGGCCGTCCGTCTTCGGCCTCGATCCTCCGTGCCCCTCCCCCTTGCGTCTCCCGTCCGCCTCCTCCTGGGTCCCTCCGCCTGCCGTGCCCGCTGTGCCTGCGGCCGCGCGCCCCCGCTCCTCTGCCTAGGCGCTTTCCCCCGGGCTCAGCTCTGCCGCGCTGCTCGGCGCCTCCCCAGGGGCGGGGCTGGCAGTGCGGGGAGCTTCTTCCCCATCACAGGGAGCAGCTCTGTGCCTCAAGTCCTTAGCACAATTTTTAATTTTTAAAAGCTCCTATTGTATGCCCTCAACCTACTTCTCCTTTGCAGTAAATGATGTTCTTGCCATGTTACTATTGCCCTATTGTGGTATTGTGTCTATAGCTCCTTCACTATATATATGTTATTTTATTATGTTGAATTTTGTTTGTTTTGATTTTTTAATTTGTTGAAAAACAAAAGGTGATTAGGTATAAAAACATATGCTAAAATAATATTGGACCACAGGTAAAGTCCTACCCTAAGGGTACGTCTAGACTACATGCCTCTGGCGACAGAGGCATGTAGATTAGGCTACCCGACAGAGTAAAATGAAACGGCGATTTAAATAATCGCCGCTTCATTTAAATTTACATGGCTGCCGCGTTGAGCCGACAAACAGCTGATCAGCTGTTTGTCGGCTCAACGCGGCAGCCATGTAAATTTAAATGAAGCGGTGATTATTTAAATCGCCGCTTCATTTTACTCTGTCGGGTAGCCTAATCTACATGCCTCTGTCGCCAGAGGCATGTAGTCTAGACGTAATTAGTATTTGATGCACTTAATGTTTAACAGAGCCGCATTGGCTACATGGTGGCCCCATAGCCATTCGAGTAGGGCAAAGCACAGTGGCTCAGGCTGGTCCATTAAAGACAGTGTGACTGTGCAGGAGGAAGCACTCTGGGCACGTCTAGACTACATGGCTCCATCGATGGAGCCACATACATTAGGGTTGTAGGCAAAGGGAAATGAAGCAGCGATTTAAATAATCGCCGTTTCATTTAAATTAAAATTGCTGCCGCGCTGTGTCAATCAGCTGTTTGTCGGCACAGCGCTGTAGTCTGGACGCTCCGTGGTTGACATTAAAGGCATTTGTTGACCTCCCCGGTAAACCTCATCCCACGAGGCATAACAGCTATTCAGAAATGCTATCCTCACAGAAAAGAGTGAAAATGTAAGTTGTCTAAAATAAAGTGTTTGCTTTATTATAGATACGTATTTGGGGTCGGAAAGAAGCAATTAAAAAAGGGTATGCTGACTATGCTTTAAATATCACAGGCCCACTCTTTTCATTTCTGGAAGATTTATTTAACATCAGTTACCCTCTTTCAAAAACAGGTGAGTTACCTTCCTTTCATTTAAAACAAATGGTTGTTGCTGATATAACATCTACAGAAGTAGTGGGTCCTGTCTTGCCAGATTCTTTCTTTAACCAGTGCTGGATTCAGAGAAGACTAGTCCTCACTCTTTATTCTTCAATTTCTCTCCTTTTCCTCCCTACTTTTTGTACAGCACCTTTCATGATGCAGGCTATGTCTACACTACAGTTATTTTTTGGAAAAAGGTACACAAATTGCAATTTGCGTACCTTTTTCCGTTTTTTTTTCGGAAGAGGCTTTTCCGACATTTGGCCTGTCTATCTAGGGCCAAATATGGGAAAAAATCTCCTCTTTTGGAAGAGCTCTTATTCCTCATAAAATAAGGCTTCCGAAAGAATGTGCCCACTGTTTCAGAACTGATCCGAAAAAGCGGATGCATTCCCTGGACACAGAAGGGTTTTTCTGGAATACCGCTGGTATCCTGGAAAAACTCTTTAGTGTAGACATAGCCTTAGGCTATGTCTACACTACACTTCTTTTTCAGGAAAAAGTATGCAAATTGTGGAGCGCAATTTGTGTACCTTTTTCCGATAATTTTTTCAGAAGAGGCTTTTCCAAAATTTGGCCTGTCTACATGAGGCCAAATTTCAGAAAAATCTCCTCTTTTGGAAGAGCCCTTCTTCCTCGTGATACGAGATTTACAGGGCTTCTGAAAGAGCCCGTTTGCTCTTCTGCAAAAAATGTTGGAAGAGCAGACATGTTCCCTGGACATGGCAGAGTTTTTCCAGGATACCGGAGGTGACCGGGATACCCTCAGTGACCTTTTCCCATACTGACCTTGTTTTCTCTGAAACATTGTTCCTAACCTGTAATTAATCCACATTTCTTCAAACCTTCTTTGTCTCCTGTGCTACATTCCCATCTAATTTGTAAGTCACCAGCATGTCTTTGTACCTTCCTAGCTTTCAGTTCAGTGTCTCATCTTAACTTGGACCTCACCAACATCTCTCTGTACCTTCCTTGATGGAAACAGTCCTCTGTAGAAAAGCTCTATTTCTGCTTTGATGAAAATGTGCAATACCATTCCTTAAATCTCAGTATCTTAATTTTACAGATACCCTGTGCAAAGGTGTTACACATCATTAACTGGTTTTAACTGAGTGACACCACTATAAACTAGAGCAGGGATGGGCAATCATTTTTATGGGAGGGAACACTCCAAGCATTTGATAAGTGATCAAGGGCGGCACTCTTCCATGATATTAATGGAGAAGGTGTGCGGTCTGGGATAGAGGTTGGGTGCAGAAGGGAGCTTGGGGTAGGGCTGCAGGAGAAGATTCTGACGTGGAGGAGGGCTGTAGGAGGGAGTGCAAACTCTGGGAAGGGGTTTGATCTGGAGCAGAGGTGCTGTGGTTTGGGTTGTGGTCTAGAGCAGGAGGGGGTTGTGACCTGGGGCAGGAAATAGGGCTGTGGAGTCTGGGAAGGGGTATGGGTGCAGGAGAGGATTCTGGTCTGGAGGAGGGGTTCAGGATGAAGTGCTGAGTCTGGGAGAGGGTTGGAATGGGTACAGGGGGACAGGAGGGGGATACAGGAATTTGGGTTGTGACCTGGAGTTGGTTGGGGTTGGGTTGGGCTGGGGTACAAGGCCTGGGAGGGGTATGGGTGTAGAATTAGGGGTGCAGAGGGTTTAGATTGTGACCCAGGGCAGGAGTGTAGGAGGGGGAGCAGAGGGTTGGAAGGACGGAGAGGCTGGGGTGCTAGAGGCAGGCTCTGACCACGAGGTGCTTACTTGGGTGGCTCCTGGCCAACAGCTCAGTGAGACTCTCAGACAGGCACCCAGGCTTTCCATGCCACCACATGCCACTCAGAGCATCCGGCTGCAGATGCTGTGTTCTCTACATACCACTAAGCCCAATCTTTGATACAGTTGGTACCGCAAGTGTTTAGGTACCCTGAGGATCTGATAATACTTCGTGAGCTGGGGTATTTTCTGTGAACTAGTGGAGGTTTGTCTCTATCAAGATGCTCTCTGTGACCAACTCTTCTATCACTATAGCACCACACTTGCCCTCAGCTACTCTGCAAGTGGTACAGATCTCACCCCCTTAGAGTATGTGGCTGAGAACTCACCATATTCTCAAATTTTGGTGAAGGCTCCTTATCTATTCCAGAATACGTCATTCTCTCTATTACACTGACATATTACAGGAGGATAGACTTCAGATGATGCCCACATGGTGGGAACACAGAGGGCTGCTGCCACTTTTGCTATGTGGGCCCTTCAGTGGCTTTTGCTGGGACCATTGTCCTTCTATCACTAATAATTTACATCAAAGTCTTTGCAACACTCAAGGAAAGAGAGAGGAACCCATTCTCCTTAGCTCCCTTTCCACCATCTATGCCAGAGGAAAAGACCTTTGAGGTGCAAGAGCTGATAAGGAAGTGACAACTCTTACTAATATTTCCTCCTCATGTCATGATGAAGTTCTCCTGCCTCCATCACCTCTGTGGCAGATGACTTCAGGCAATTTCTGGAACTGAGGAAGTGGATTTCTGACTTGCTGTTGATTCCCTTAGCAGAGGTTCAGTAGTCCTACCATAAATTGCTAGGTATTTTACAACTTAACATCTATGAAGATTGCCATTTGGGTCAATGAAACTTTTATGGAGCCTTCTCAAATAGTTTAGCAAATTCCAGTTACCACACTACCTACCTTCTACAGGGTGGATAAAAAGCATTATGATCCAGATAGGGAACTGGAGTATCAATTTTCTCATCAAGCACCATATTCCCTAATAGTGGAAGCCATTAATGAACAAGGCAGACATAGTTCAAAGTCCATCCTGTACATGAAGAAGCATAAGAGGCTTGATCTTTTTGGTCATAAATCCTATGTATTGGCTATACTTCAGTTCAGAGTAGCAAATCATCTAATCTCATGGCCAAATACAACAGTACTTTTATTGAACATCTGCCAGAAAACATTCAGATCAGTTTAGATTCTTCTGGCAAAGACATCACTCCAGGTCTCCTTGGATGCCACAGATACTGCAGCATGATCTATTTCCACTACAGAAAAAGCATCTTGGCAGCAGCTGTCCGGGTTTCCAAGGGAGGTTCAGAGTACTGTCAAAGACCTCCCCTTTGACAACTGAAAGCACTTTGCAGACTTGATGTATGCATCTCTCCACGCTTGAAAAGACTCAAGAGCTATGGCTGAAATCCCTAGGATTTTGCACTTCTGTACATAAAAGGAGATTAAAGAGGTCTCAGATGGCAAAAAGAGCACACCCAACCCCATATTCAATGTATCATAGGCCCCTTGAATCCACGATCAAGAAGCTATAATAATAATAATAATAATTAATAAAGAAACTCTCTCTAAGGCTGTGTCCAGACTCAGGGTTTTTTTCGGGAAAAGTAGCCTTTTTCCGAAAAAACTTCCCCTGCATCTAGACTGCAGCCGCGTTCTTTCGAAATTAAATCGAAAGAACGCGGCTTTTCTTTCGACGGCGGTAAACCTCATTTCACGAGCAAGAACACCTTCTTTCAAAAGTGCTTCTTTCGAAAGAAGGCGTTCTTGAATGTAAATAGGGCTTCTTCGAAAGAGAGCATCCAGACTCACTGGGTGCTTTCTTTCGAAAAAGCGGCTTGCTCTTTCAAAAGTTCCGCGTGCAGTCTAGACGCTCTCTTTCGAAAGAGGCTTGCAGTCTAGACATAGCCTAAATCTTCTCAGCAATCCATGTCCTCAAATTACAGTTTGGTTGAGATGCTCAGTCACCTAACCAACACAGCCTAACAGCTGCAACATTAACTTCTTCCTCTTCCTGTTTTAAAGATCCTCAACATATTTTGCACTCTTTGCTTTACCAACTGCTTAGGAATTTTGCCATTGTTAATTGAATAAATCCCCACAAATCAGAGATTCTATACTGAACTGGGACTTGAACCTAGTACTGAATTGCCTTATGTACCATCCTTTGAACTCTATGTGTTTTTTATTAGATTTCTCAATTAAGACAGCCTTGTGGTAGCAATCACTTCTGCCTGAAAGTTGGGAGAACTGGGAGCCTTAATGACAGACATCCCCACTTATGATAGTCACAAGTGAGAAAGTATTGCTGTGAGCACATCCAAGGTTTTTTTAACCTAAGGTTTCTTCAGAATTTCTTATTCATCAAACCATTGGTCTCCTGGCTTTTTCACTAAAATGCACATGAAAAAGCCACATTCCATACCCAATATGTCAAGAAGGCATTAGCCTTCTATCTGGATAGGACCAAACCATTTAAAATATCTCCTAGTCTGTCTGTATCCATTGTAGCCAGAATGAAAAACAAGGGAGAAATTACATAACTAGAAATCATGAAAAAAGGAAAGACTTTTATTCTTTCCCTTCCTACCTTCTCCCTCTCCCCCGTATGCTCCCATTACCGGAACAAAAGCAAGATGGAGAGAATGGAGAGCCAGAACTACTCAGGAGTGCAGAGAACTGAATCTACTCTCCCAGCAGCTGAGAGAAAAGTTCCATTATCAAAGATTTTAGATCTAAATATACTTAGTTACATGAAACTATTGATAACCTCGGCTTGTACGTAGTTGATTTTTATGTTTCTGATTGAAAGGGTGGCAATGCTAGAGAGGCATAGCAGTGGCATATATAGTTAAAGACATGCAAGAAAATAATTCCAAAAAAGCATTTCCTAGTTTATTGCAACTCGACAGCAAAGAACCACTAAAATATGTACCTTGTAATTGCACATTGGATAAACATACAATAGTCACGTGTGCATTTTACTTTTTAAAAATTTATTTTTTTTCTGTTTAAATCAATTTAGATCTGGTTGCACTGCCTGATTTTGGAGTAGGTGCTATGGAAAACTGGGGGCTAATGACTTTCCAGGAATCATCATTGATGTACAACCCAAGTGATAAATTCAGAGGCAAAAAGGCTATGATTTGCCTAATTGTTTCACATGAGCTAGGACACCAGGCATGTGGTAAAACATCTGTACATGCATTTATTTATGAAGTTGCTTTTTTCAAGTTGATGTAGATGCAAAGTAATTTTTAACATGGGGAAAATAGTGACTTACATGTGGGGATTTAACTCTTGGTGATAACAAGAGAAAGGAATGCTATAGCAATAACCAAAATGATTTTCAGTTGGTTGAAAGCTTTGATTATAAATTAATTTGGCAGATCAATATAAGAAACAAATTTCAGCATGACACAAGAACCTCCACTGAATATCCATTTTATCTTGAATGAAATTTATAAAATATAATAAAACCATTATTTGAAAACTTGACTGTAACGGGTCATGTATATACACATAATATCTACTAATGAACCATGTGTTCATTGTCTTACAAGATACTTGGATATCTTTGAATAAAATACTCTATTTTAGGAATGAACATGATATGCATATCGAAATAGAGTAAGGATACTCACAATGATTCATGGGAGAACAGATTCCTTAAAAGAATTTTAACAGGAAGATGTAACTATAGGAAAAGGAAAATAGTAAATGGGCTATGCAGCTGTAGAATGAAGGGAAGTATACAAATTTTTATCTGTATCTGGAATGTTTACACAATGATCTTAAAAATTTAAAATTATTTGGTTCGGAATGATAAAATGGTTTCACTTCATTTTTTACTATACTTCATTTAAATTTGCCAAGAGGAAGTAGTTTAAACAACAAAGTTAGCAAAAAGTTAAACTTGGCTACAGTATGTCTGTCCATCTGATGATCTGAAAAATGAGTGTGTTTCTTGAAGGCCAGTAAAATAAATATTATTACTTACTTAAATAGTTTTTAAATAAAGTAACAGACCTTAAGGATTAACAAATAATATGTAATGACATCACACATTCCCAAATGATAAATCAGATTTTTGTTAAATATTAACTGCCAACTAATACTTCATCACAGCTGTTGTAGATGTTGTATTGCTTATCAGGATATGGATTTGCTGATTTTTGGAAGTGGCTGTTTCCCCAGGTCTGTTTATCATCTGCTGGGCAATTTTCCTTTCATTTAAGAACAAGGGAAAACAAAATAGTATTAATTTAATGAGAAATAAGCTATTTGGAAAATATTTGTATTTATTGTTTGAGAAATGCCATGTTTTCAAACTGTAGTCTGGCTTTTTCTGCTAGATTTACAAATTTATATGTGATTATTTAATTTAAATAGAATGGAGAATCTTTTAAAACCACTGTATGTGCTTATGTTATAAAATCTCAGACAAAAGAATTTAAAAATATATAACCATTGACCTGCCTCTGTATCTTTTCTCAAGTTGTATCTTTGGACTACTGAATTTCCACCAATTGGAAAAAAACGATAGCATGTTATTGTGATAATGTATATACTGTAGGGTTGCCAGATGGTTTCAACAAAAATACCTGACACACTTGACATTACATCACAGTCTATATTACATCTTATTTAGAAAATACCGGACATTTATATTTTCTCAATTTGTTTCATGAACAGAAAGCTCAAATACTGGACTGTCAGGTTAAAAACTGGACACCTGGCAACCCTATATACACATTAAATAAAGAGACACTGTTCTTTTGATCATTCATATCTGTTTAACACAAAGGAATGAAAGCATCATTTCAAAGAAATACAATATGAGATATTTTCTCTTTTTTTCTATTTAAGTGGTTTGGAAATCTGGTTACCATGAATTGGTGGAATGATCTGTGGCTTAATGAGGGATTTGCATCTTACTTTGAATACATTGGAGCTAGTTACATGGAACCCAGATTATCACTGGTAAGTACCAAGTTTTCTTCTTACAACCTATAGTATTGTCCTCATCCTGCACCAGGGAGCTTCAATAAATGGGAGCATTCCTACTGACTTTAATGGTCTCATGGTCAGTTCCAATATAACTTTAAATGAAAACTAGGGGTCTGTGCCCCCTTCTCACTACTCTTGCCAACCTCTCTGTCTCTGGGGGTAGGCAGGCCCGGATTTCCCCCCAGACGCTGGGGAGAGAACGGCTGGGGCCACAGCCAGCCCTGGCCTCTCAGCTCTCCTGGCCACAGCCAGCCTGGGCCTCTTGGCCCTCCACTGCTCCCCCACCACAGGCCATGGTATCTCACCTCCCATCTGTGGCTGCCAGGGCCAGGGGCGGCTTTGGGGCCAGGAGTAGGGCCGAAGAGACCGGGCTGGGATGGCTTCAGACCTTCCTTGGTGGCGGTGGAAGAGCCTTGGCCTGGCCCTTCTCAGCAGCTGGGGAGAGAGCTGGGCCTGCCTCGGCCTGGCCCAGCCCCCGGCAGCTGGAGGGAGAGAGCTGGGCCTGCCATGGCCTCAGCCCAGCCTGGCCCATCCCCACCCCCTCTGATGGCTGGGAAGTGGGGAGAGGGCCAGGCCTGGCGGCCAGGGGGAGAGAATCTTGGCCTGGCACTCCCCAGCGGCCGGAGGGAGAGACGGGGCTCTTACCCCCCAGAGAGAGGGGTTGGCAAGCATAGCAAGCAGTGGGTGCAACTGTCTAATTTCATTTAATTTCATTTTAGCTTTTACAACATTCTAAAATAAAATTAAATTTCTAACAGAAAGGTAATTTTGAATAAAAAAATCCACATATTTCATTTCAGCATTTTCTAAATGAAAACCTTTCGATTTTTCTGATTTTTTTTTTTAAACCAAAATAATTTTGCACATTCATCATGGATGCACAACATGTTTCAGCTAATCCAAATTTGCTTTTTTTGTTTAGGGAAAAAAAAGAGTTTTGGCCAAAACGTCTTGCCCATTTCTAATGGTGTGTAAATACTATAGAGACAAAGGTTGCCCCACAATTGCATCTGTTCTTTCAGCAGCATGTACACAACATTTCAGTGTTTGCTTTGAATTTGTCTTACAATAAATTCATTTTGTAATGGTATTCACAATACCTAATTGATATAAGTAGGTTTGGTTTTAGGTACTCTTTTTGTACATACCTATGCAGCTTGTGGTAATTTTTCATTAATTTCTGACACTCCGGCTGCGTCCACACTGGCCCCTTTTCCGAAAGGGGCATGCTAATTTTCAACTTCGTAATAGGGAAATCCGCGGGGGATTTAAATATCCCCCGCGGGATTTAAATAAAGATGTCCGCCGCTTTTTTTCAAAGTAGGAATAAGAGATCCTCCGGGATAGGGCTTTATTCCGGAGGATCGGGCCAGTCTAGACGCTCTTTTCCGGCTTTTCTACAAGCCTGAAAAAAGCGGCGGACATCTTTATTTAAATCCCACGGGGGATATTTAAATCCCCCGCGGATTTCCCTATTACGAAGTTGAAAATTAGCATGCCCCTTTCGGAAAAGGGGCCAGTGTAGACGCAGCCACCATGTTTTATTACATCAAATTACAGAACATAACATTTTACAACACGCCTTATATATTTCAAGTGATCCAATATGATTAATCATGATTCTGTCAAAAATGCAAAGCTGTACATTTTTCATCACTGTGTGAGGTGGGACTTCTCCACAACAGATGATTCCTGTTGCTTGTTTAGGTTAACTGTGTATTATGTGTGTGAATGACTCCACAGCTGATAACATAAATGTAAATTTCTTTTGTTGGAGACTATGGAAACATTGATTGCAACTCTATAGTTAAGATTGTGTTGAGTTTTTCTTTTAAAAACAGGATTTCATTCTTTGCTAGGAATGAATATTAGTGTTTATCATAACCAAAATTGCCACTTGATCTTTAAGCTTCCGCTTAAAGTTAAGCAATCACTTATGTACTTTGCTGAATTGGAAACTACTATAGGTTTGTAAAATGCATTTTCTCCCAGGAGGATCAAATCAGATTTTTAGCCATGGACTCTACTAGTGCATCACTTTGGGTTTCCATCACAGATTATTTATACTCTCTAAAGTAGAATTTAATACCAAAGGAATGTGTAAAGAGCTAAGTTTTCAGAAAAAAGCCTTTGCTTCTTTTTTGTTTTTGTTTTTGGTAGATACAGTTTGCCCTTGTAAAAGTCTGTGTCTAATTTTGTTACCCAAAATATGTGGCAAATCAGAGTATTTAACATAATTAATTATGTGTACAGCTACAGATTTGTGTCTGGAGTCAGGTACAAAAACTAATGGGTTTCACTGCAATTCAAATGCAGGTAAAAATTATCAGCACAAATTGCACCTGCGACATTTCAAAATTTGGGTCCTAAAATTGTTTGCAAAATACAAAACAATCTGCAAATAAATAAGCTTGCACCTTTTAAAAGCCTGTCTCCTCCTCTCTGGCAGTTCAGCTGCTCAAAGTGACCCACATTAAATTTAACAAAAAACCTACTTGCAGATCCCAGGTTAGTAGTTGATACTGCATGACAAATACATGTTCAAACAAAACAGATGAACATCAGTTTCTTCTTTTTCTTACCTGACGTTTCAGAGGTATCCCGGAAAAGCTCTGCTGCATACAGGGAATGTGTCTGCTCTTTCGCTTTTTTTAGCAGAAGATCAGACGTCCTCTTTCTGAAGCCCAGTCTTCCTCCTCTCACAAGGAAGAAGGGCTCTTCTGAAAGAGAAGGCTTTTCTGAAATTTGGCCCAGTGTAGAATCTATGGGAATCCAACAAGTCATCTAAGCTCTTTCAAGGAACACCTAATTTCAGTGGGGTATAAAGAACCTCAAAGGAGGAGAAACCAAGGCAGATGAACCCAACAGAATCATGGCTTCAGGACTCTGGGGGAAAAGCTGGTGTAAATTGTCCCAGTTCCTTGAAGTTAAGGGAACAAAACTGATTTACACCAGCCAAAAATCTGGCTGTCCACAGACATTGGAAGCCCCTGCTCTCCTTCAAATGGCTATTGTGGTGTTTAGTCTTTCAACATAGGAAAGAGAAAACATGGAATGTGAGTCTTGCCAGATAAGTGAAGCAAGAACTGATTGTACTCAAAATGTAAATACTGTACATCATTCACTTTTATATTTTGCAATTTTTGTTGCATTTAATAATTTTTACATTTTTTCTTAAATCGTAAAACTTTAGTGCTTTTCATGAAACCTGAATCTGCCATCCATCTGTATGCAGAATATCTGTTACCCTCAACAGGTTCCACCTGTGGAGGATTTGCAGCATCAGGCCCTCTGCCCTCTTTATTCTGCATAAAAATGAGTTCCTTTTGGAGTGGGAGGATTAACTTGGATTACAGATTCATAATATCCAATTTCCTTTTTGACCTGATAGGAAAATTTCAGCTTGTATGTGGTCTGAGTGGTTTATATAATTGGCATTAATTGAAATGAGAATTTGTCTTTTTAATTTTCAGAATCAAATCTTTTACTATCACATGTTACAACCTGTCTTAAGAGAAGATAAAGAAATAGCGTCTCGGTCGTTATCAATGAGAGAAGAAAACATCAAAGGACCATTTTCATTAATTGGCCTTTTTGATATCTTCACTTACAGCAAGGTAAAAAAGAAAAGAAAATATTTTGCTTTTAGGTACATTCCAATAACTTTGCAAAACAGATTTAAAAAGAACTAGCAAAATATTTTATGGCAAAACATACAATACAGGCAGTCCCCGAATTATGCGGATCCGACTTATGTCGGATCCACACTTACAAATGGGGCTTTTCTCGCCCCGGAGCTTGCCGGCGGCGGGACTGCTCAGAGCGCAGCGGTCCCGCCACCGCGTCCTCCGGGGCAAGAAAAGCTGCTCCGGGTCTCCCTGGTGTGCTGGGGGGGACTCCCCAGCACAGCAGGGAGACCCGAGCAAAGCCGCACAGGTGGCGGGACCCCGCTTCCCGTGCGGCTTTGCTCCTTTGCCCCGGAGCAAAGCCGCAGAGGCGGGGGACCCCGTCGCCTGTGCGGCTTTGCTCGGGTCTCCCTGGTCTGCTGAGGGGGGGGAGGGAGCACAGCTAGTGC